AATATCACGGAATTCACTAAATAGATATTACCTACTATCTTCTACTAGTACAACCAACTGTGTTGCCCTTCTACATGTCATCGTAATCTGATACTGTTTCGAAGCTACTTATATTTTAGGGTTGTCCTTTCCTTTTTTAAACTGCACCTTGATTTCAGGTCCAAGACAGCATTCTATCACCAGTCAATTACTGGCTCGTTTTTTCTACAGGTTTCAATCAGGTACTTTTCGTTCATTTACTGCCTCATTAAGGCCAAGAATTTACACATTGGGGTATGATTTTCCACCTTGCCTCGTCAGGCCACGGCTCTACTCGATAACTCGCTATACGTTTACTCAAACTCGCTATCTATGGACAGTCATCCTGTTTCATACAAGCCTCACTCTTATCACCCTCCTCTCCCCCTCTGATACTATCATGCTTTTCATGGCACAACGCTTTCCTGAAAATCTCTCTTCAGGGTTATATAGATGCTATCCTGAGTTTCTTCACTACCCTCAGGGTCTATGGTTACTATGCTATTATCCACATCTCCAACAACTACACTGGGTTGCTCATACTTTTCTCTCTCTTCTATCCCACGTCCACAGTCCCTCCTCTTCTTCTTATCTCTTTTTTTCCTCCATGAAATATGAACCTCACGGATCCTATCAACCTCGACTCGGTTTGCTGAATACATTACGTTCCACCCTCATCAAGCCCCCATCTAGGGTTAGAGAACTGGCTGTTTAGGGTTAGGTTGCTGGCCTTAGTTAAACTACGGATCTGGTCCCGCGAGGCCAACTCCCCAATCTCAAAACTGAGATTTTGCCCAAGGCCCAAATCATAGTTAGAGCCTCGCATTAGCCTACCTATTGGGTTAGATAGGGCCTCACCTGACACGGCCACACATATTTGGATCTTTTACTGTCACCAAGAGGCCAACACCCCGTCACCACGCTAGTGGCACGAGCCCCACGCCCAAAATCATAGATAGAGCCTCTCACCAGCCGCCTGGCAACTAGCAGGGCCTCACCTGTCACAGGGTAGAGAGCTTTTCACTTCGGCACTAGTTAGCCAGCCAGTTCTACGCTTATTCAACTGTTTTGTTATTAATCAATTCTTTGTTGTTGTGATGTTCTTTTTTAGCACGTCCCAAGAAGGTAATATGGGAGACGAACTATTCCATCCTGTGATGACTACTGAACCGAACCCGGAGGATTCTGTGCTTGAGATCGGCTTCATTACACGGGTTCTACACTAGGTGGGGGTCACTCTCACTGTGCACCCTAAATGTCCAAATCTCCTCAGCTAATCACGTATTATTTAATGTGCGCCACCGGCTATACTAATATACATCGCCTCAGCATTATTCTATCTGCTCCGCTTTCAGTCGCATCCTGTGCCTTAAATATCATCACCCAATTCTCTCGATACTATATCACTAGGGATTGTAGCCATTATGGGCAGGCGTAACTACTTGGCCTAGCAGGACAGATCTCCAACTCCTCCACATGACCATTCATCCCTACAAACTATTGGTTGGGGATTGCCAGTTAAGTGGCGCTCAGTCTTCCCTCCTATTGCAATACCGGCCTTAGTCGAACTTACCGATAGGGGCAGCCGCATTAATGGACAGACCACTAGTCAAGCAGGCCAGTTGAAGGTTAGGCTGACTGCATGGCTGTCTGCAACATATTCAATACAATCGTTCACCTTCTTAACCTTTGCATAGATGGTTCGCAGACAGTTTGACGGAAACAGGGTTAGAAGGTCCTTCGGCATGGCAGTCCTGGTCAGTTAGGGGGAGTCACTAGAGCTCGGAATTGAGTTTATGAGTTCATCTCCCTGGTTCCGACCAACTCCCAATTTGTACAGTTCAACTATAACTATTAGGTATTCCTGGTCAAGAGTCAATTGGCCTAGTACCTCACCCAACTTACAACACCCAGTTACTTTCCGCATTTCATAATCTGCATTTTAATGTCATCATTCCGTCGCCCGGCTATTGGGACTTGACAACAAGTTATCACCTATAGCATTTTCGATTGCACTAAGAATACATATGACAGAACGTGACATTCTTCCAAGATTCAGTGGAACACAACATTCACAGGCATACCGTACAATTGTAGTCTATTCTGCTTTTTGCCACCTTTTATTCAAACCTTCATACAACACTATCGCACTATACCGAACTGACATACAATAACACGTTCTGACAAGCCTTTCAAACCATACCCTGTCTTAACATAAGATATCAAAAGATAAATAATTGGTTTATCACTCTACAGTAACATACATCCACAGATGCTAATTCTGGGCAGTATCAGACTCCCTAAACAGCCTCCGCACCACACAACCAGGTGCCTGCAACCGTCCAAGGGTTCCCGAACCCTACAACTACACGATCACAGCTAATCAGACTGGCAAATCATGTCTCCTCAAGTAAGATTTAAGAAGGTACAGACACTACCTCATGTCACGCCAACATTCAAACCAGACAATCAAGACACTTGATTTACTAATCATTCCCTAACTACTTCTAAAAGCAGTTCTACATTCATACTCCTGGCATTAGAGTAGGTTGGGACCACTGGCTCCTATTTAGAACATCCTTTCAATAAGCACGGCATCCAGTAGCAGTACGCCGGTGCACATAATAATTAGAGTCACTAGAAATCAGCTACACGATACAGGAACATTCCTAACGGATAAGAAGTAAGGCAAACTAATCTTATGTGATAATTATATTGCAATAAGTGTGTTTTTTCTTGCATTTCCTTTTGCCCTCTTTTACAGGCCTACCCCATACATCAGTTCCGGCACACCACGCCGACTTAATTCCAATCACAAGGTATTTCACAATACGATATTAACCGACCACAAATATATATATATATATATGTGTGTTTATGTATATATATTCATGGGCGTCTGCAGGAATTTTCCCGGGGGGGGAGGGGGGAGATAATTGTTGTGTGATTGGTATGTTTCTTTTTCTAATTCAAAATATTGGTTCTGCCAGTGTAAAAAAATTAAACATACAGTAAGCATACTCACATGCAGACACAGACAATCTCACTGACACAAGCAAACAAGCTCATTGATACACATGCTTACTGATAGATAATCTCATTGATACACATAAGCTCATTGACATAAAAACACAAGCTTATACACACAGACAATTTCACTAACACACACAGACAAGCTTACTGGTACACACACAAACTTAGTACAAACTCTTATACTCACACTACAGACTACTACAGACAACCTCATTGGTATACAAACAAAAACTTACTACAGACAAGCTCACTGTCACAAACACAAACGCTCACTACAGACAAGCTCACTGACACACACATGCTCACTACAGGCATGTTTGCTGACACACACATGCTCACTACAGGCATGTTTGCTGACACACACATGCTACATACAGACAAGCTCACTGACACACATACAAGCTCACTGACACACACTCATGCTCACTACAGACAAGCTCACTAACACTTGCTTACTACAGTCAAGCTCACTGACACACATGCTCACTACAGACAAGCATACTACAGACACACACACATGCTCACTACAGAAAAGCTCACTTACACACACATGCTCACTACAAACACGCTCACTGACACATTCTTACAGTCACGCTTATGGACACACATGCTGACTACAGACAAGCTCACTACAGAAAAGCTCACTGACACACACACACATGCTTTCTACAGAAAAGCTCACTGACACACGTGCTCACTACAGACAAACTCACTGACACACACACATGCTCACTACAGAAAAGCTCACCGACACACAAGCTCACTGACACATATACACATGCTTACTGCAGACATGTTCACTGACATACACATGCTTACTACAGAAAAGCTAGCTGACACACACAAGCTTTTTTACACATAAGCTCACTGACACACACAAGGTCCCTACAGAAAAGCTTACTGACATACACACACACACATGCTCACTGCAGAAAAGCTCACTGAAACACATGGTCACTACAGACAAACTCACTGACACACACATATGCTCAGTTGACAAGCTCACTGACACACACACATGCTCACTTACAGAAAAGCTCACTGACACACTTGCTCACAACAGACACTCACTGACACACACACACACACACACACATAAGCTCACTACAGACAAGCTCGCTGACACACACACACATACAAACTCACTGGCAGGCACACACACACACACACACACACACACACAAAATCACTGTCATGGGCTGAAGCCTACCTGTCACAGAAGGCTGTGGGAGACTGGGAGCACTGGAAAATGAAGTCTCCATTTTCTGGACTGCCTGGCCTCTTTCTTCCAGCAAGGTCAGCGTCTTATATACGGGAGTGGGGTTTGTTCGAAGGAGTGGGGTTTGTGTGAGTGGGGCATGGCTTGCTTGCGAGAGGTGGGGTCGAAGCATAGAGGCTCCAAATTGCTGGGGATTTAGTAGGGAGTCTTACAGTGTTCCCTCCGGCCCAAATGCGGCGGGCCAGTCCGGCCCTGCCTATGGGGAGGGGACAAGCTGAAAAATCTAGTGAATGGCAACATATGCTTAGTAAATTACTGATAGTTCTAATCCAAAAAGTAGTCATAATTTTTATGTATATAATAGTATTTTGTATTTTATTAGTTTTTGCTTCTATAGAAAGAGTGACCAATTCTTATATGACAAGTATTGGAAATGAAAATAAAGGTAAATGTGGATACAATAATATAAACAATATTTATTAGAAAAAGATTGTCTGATTTCTGTCTCTGAAATGGTGATCATTAACAGTAAAATCATAATGAGTGACCAATGAACTTATAAGTCCTACAGTAACATAGAAACATAGAAACATAGAATGTGACGGCAGATAAGAACCATTCGGCCCATCTAGTCTGCCCAATTTTCTAAAAGTGATGTCATAAATGTAGCTGCAGCTATAACTGCATGAACATTCTGTTTCTTACCAGATGCATCTGAGGCTGTGACAGAGCTACACCATGGCGACCAGTATTGGGATTTGTCAGGTATGTATGCAAACTTCTAGTTTGAATACTTTGAATCTGACCTTAAACTTCGGAGAGTCTACCGGACCTTAACTGTCATCAAGGAGATCGGAGCAACCATCCAAAGGATACTAAATTTAGCTTTCTCATCCATGTCAGTGATTCACAAGAGTAGGTATTAGTCAACATACAGGGTGCAACAGACATGAAAAATGCACAGCAAACCAAGACTTAAAGGGACAGTATATTATTGAGAATTCACATCTGTATTCCTATAGTGTATTCCACTATAGGAACCCTCAGTCCCCCACACCTCCCTGGAGATGTAAAAGTTTAAAAAATCATTTTTTCACTTACCTGATTCAAGGACCAATGCCCCTCTGTGTTGGGTCAGGTTTCTACTCCTCCGACATCAACAGCGAGTGCCGCGTACATGCATTATGCCTTCCACATAGGAAACACCAATGCTTTCCTATGGGATTTTTCAATTTACAAAGCTTGAGGACATCCTGCATCGTTTCACAGAGTCAAACTCGATGAAACTACAGGAAGCGCCTCTAGTGGCTGACCGGTAGACAGCTACTAGAGGCAGTCTTAACACTGCAATGTAAGCATTGTAGTTTATCTAAAACTGCAATATTTTACATTGCACTGTTAAGGGAACAAGGGACACTGCACCCAGACCAGATCTGAAATGAAGTGTTCTGAGTGCCTATAGTGTCCCTTTAACATGTTTTTGGTACAAGAATGGATACTATCTGAATGTATGTGAAATAAACAGGTTAATCACTTAATATGTGATATGTGTATGCAGTACACTTAAAAAGTTTACTTTGAAACATGTGAATCAACAACATTAGGAAACAAAGAAATATTCATTCCAGTAACATTTTAAATGTATTATTCCCGGAATATTAATCTATTATAATTTTCAGAGGGCCAAAATCTGCATTCACATAGAGTTCTTCACCTGTATTAGATTTTTTGCAAATTAACACAGAGTGCGATCAGTTAATTAAACAATTAAAGTGTCTAGTGCTAACATTAAAACCATTAACCTCCCTAAACAAATATCATGTCAATATTCTGAGAGTTTATGAATTATATTTGACTTTTAGAAATTGACATCCACAAAAGAAGTAAAACATGTCATTTAATTCAAGCCTGGTAGATATTGAATTAAACTATACATCTCATTGAATTTCCTGAAGAGAACATTACATGCTCTGTACAACCAACATTACATAATGGGGGATGCATGATCCTGTATTTGACTTTAAACCAATTAATATACAGATATCAACTTAACCCCCTAAAGACCCCCTTAACCCCCTAAAGACCAAGGCTTTTTTAAACTGCAATGCGTTTGTGAACAAAGCCTTTTTGGCACTTTTTCCATGTATTCATTCTACCACAATTACCCTGTTTTGTTTAAGTGCAACCATACATATTATTTCTATTTTTTTAAAGGAGACATTGAGCTTTCCTCTGACACTATATATGTATGCATAATGTAATATTAATTAGGAATATAATACATGTTTAAATTTAATAATTTCTACACACCAAGTGCAACTAAGGAAAACTAACTCAAAATAAATTTACTAGTTAATCCTCATTGTTAAAAAGCCTAATATGTCTAAATTTTAGTTAAGTAAGTTATAAAATAAATAAACAAAATTGGCTTGCTGACATTACATCTGTAAAAGTTGTCACAGAATCCAAAACCGTTACACAGAACTTTGTTGAAAGTACATTCTTGTAGGCTATGTAGCTAAGAACATTGGATACTTTTCATTTAATGGAGAGCAAAAAACGGGTCGCAAGAGTATTCTGAGAACAGACAGCAGCTAAAATAGCCTGCCCTTAGCTGCTGTCCGTTCTCAGAATACTCTTGCGACCCGTTTTTTGCTCTCCATTAGTTTAAAGGGTAATCCAGACGTGGACCCCTTGCTCACGGTGCCTAGAGAGATATCAGCTATGCCTCACTGATGATGCCTTACAAGGCTGAAACGATCGTCTGGATTGCTGTATCTCTTGTGCAGAGAGAACTTGCTGGCATTTCGGATCTGGACTGCCGTATGGGTGGGACCAGTCTGATATGCTTCAGCTATGTTCTCTCTGTAATGGCACAAGATGAGCTAAAACCAGCTTGAGTTCTGAGTGGGGACCCACCAAAGGGCAGGCTCTTTTAGCTGATGTCCGTTCTCAGAATACTCTTGCGACCCGTTTTTTGCTCTACTTTTCATTTAACCAGTTTATAACAAATGTAAGTCAAATAAGTAAAAAAAAAATGTTGTCGGTTTTTTTTCCCCCACACATGTCCCACTACAACAAATGTCCCATAGTTGTATTCTGTTACTGTTCGAGTACATTGCTGCCCCACATGTATAACTTTTACCTGAACCCTGCCCCAATCCTTCCCCTAAAATTGTCCCTAATAGAGCCTTTCATCAAACCCTTAATCCAACCCCTACCCGTAATCCAACCCATAATCCGACCTATAATTCTACCCATAATCTTACCCAAGAGGCAAATCTCTAGTCCGACCCACAACACAGCTCCAATCCTACCTATAATACAATGTTTGATTTTATTATATTTAAATATATTCCCATATATATATATATATATATATATATATATATATATATCGTGACTGAAAGCAAGGAATTGTGCTGGAGGGAATCTATATATCTCCCCAGATTTTGCAAGGTTCCTACTTTGTGTAATTAGCCCCTGGGAAATGTGTTATATTAAAATGAATATTGCACTTTAAATATGTGTATATTTAGGCCCTGGGGTGGAGCACTTGGTAATCCTTGTACCACGGAACTCTCTTGTATCTGGCAAGGGGAGACTTTTACCAATGTTAAAGCATTTTAGTTGGTACACAATCATTGTGACCTACGTCATATTAACCCTCATTGCCTGTTTTATGCCCTACCCGAATGAGCACTTGGAGAGTAGGGTGGGCCAGTGCTCCACTCCACATTTTGGAAGTTGCTTGGAACCTACAGGTGAGAAGTCCAGTTCCAGAGTTTCAATCCTAATTTACCTCACCTGAAAAGGATTGTTAATTACAGGCGCTATTAAGTACTCCCCTGCCAAAGGAGGAGAGAGATTGTGTTTGATTTCTGTGAGTGGAAACAGAGAGCTGAAAAACCCTGAAACAGTAAGGTTGTTGTTTATGTTTATGTTTGGAAATGGATAATCCATCCAACCCAGTTAGCTAATTATTTCATTTAGTTAGTGCTCAGAAGAGCAAGGATTTACCTATAGGGTTACTGCAGCATAGCTCCCTGGTCGCTAAGGGGAGAATCCTCCAGGGGGTCGCCCTTGGTGAGGCGCCGTGTCCTGAGGCTACCATGGGGAGAGAGGCTGAACTCCCCATAGGCCAGAGGTACAATTAGACCCAAATAAGTCACAAAAGAAAATTTTTAGGAGATGCAAACTCCACTGTCCCTGAGAAGTGGGCAGGAAAAAAAGACTGAGGGGGTATAGGTGGGAGTCTCTTTTATTTAGGAGGTGTTCCTGTCCAATGGAGAAGGGGAGGAGCTATACCCATACGTAGTGCTGCCATGGATATATCCGGGGAAATTTTGTTACAACCTTTTATACCTTACTGTGCATTTATTTTGGAACCACAATAAAAAGAGCAAGTCCTTTTACCTCATCCAGCGTGTGAAGTGTCTCTAAAGCCTGAGTGTAACACCCCAATCCCAGGACAAGGGAAAGGAGTACTTTTGTCACATATGGTGGAGAATGCGGGCAACACACAGCAAAGTCTGTAAGTAGGGAGAAAGAGACTGCTGAGAAAAATGGAGGATGTCATGAAAGCTTTGCTCCAGTCCACTGCTGTACAGCAAGAGACAAACAGAAGGACTGCAGAGACTAATGCAATACAACAAGAGAGCATTTCAATACTGCAACAGCTTGTACTGGCTCAAAAGGAAAATACAGATGCTTTATTCAAGCAAGTTGAAGCAGCACAGGCAGCAGCTCATCAGTTGCTCAGAGAGGAGCAGCAGCATGCCACAAGCGCCATACAGCAGGAGATCCAGAGTCTATCACAAAGGCTGGCCAGGTATGCCACAGAATCACCACAATGTCCAAAGGTGATCAGAGTGAGTCACTACTTGCAAAAGATGGTATCCACAGACAATGTAGAGGCCTACCTGATGGCATTTGAGCGAACCGCTGAGCGGGAAGGTTGGCCTGCAGTGGAATGGGCAAGTCTGCTAGCACCATTTCTTACTGGTGAATCCCAGAAAGCATACTATGAACTGGAACCAGCTGAAGCCAGTGACTACAAGAAGCTGAAAGCAGAAATACTGGCACGCCTGGGGGTGACAACAGCCGTCCGTGCCCAGAGATTTCATTCATGGACTTACAGCCTGGATAAAGCGATTCGTTCACAGATGTTTGACTTCATACACCTTGCCAGAAAATGGGCCCTTTATGGCTTACCGTAGCCCTTTAGTACCCTTGCCTGTTATTGAAGTGCCTTTTGAACATATTGCTATGGATTTTGTGGGTCCTCTGGTAAAATCCACTAGGGGGCATCAGTATATAATAGTAGTACTAGACTATGCTACCTGTTACCCTGAGGCAATACCTATGCATGCAACCTCAGCAAAGTCCATTGCTAAAGAGTTAATGATGAAGTTTAGCCAGGTTGGGATTCCCAAGGAGATCCCATCAGATCAGGGTACTCCATTCATGTCCAAGGTTACAAAGGAACTCTGCAAGCTCCTTCACATTAAACACCTCAAAACCTCTGTTTATCACCCACAAACCAATGGTTTGGTTGAGCGATTTAATAAAACTTTAAAATGCTATGCTGCGCAAAGTAACTGATAAAGATGGGAAAAACTGGGACTTTCTATTGCCCTGTTTAATGTTTGCCATTGGAGAAGTACCCCAAGCTTCTACTGGTTTCTCACCTTTTGAATTATTATATGGCAGACACCCCAGGGGATTACTTGACATAGCAAAGGAAACAAGAAGCTAACCCACATTGCAGTATAATAGAACACATAACTCAAATGCAGGAACGTATTGAAGCCATTATGCCAATAGTCAGAGAACACATGCAAAAGGCTCAACAAAATCAGCAGAATAGTTATAATAAGAATGCTAGAATTTGAGTATTTCAACCAGGAGACAGAGTATTAGTCCTGGTTCCCACAGCAGAGAACAAATTCCTGGCAACTTGGCATGGGCCACATGAGATTATTGAAAGTGTGGGAGAGGTAAATTATAAAGTAAGGCAACCAGGTAGAAGAAAGGAAGTGCAATTATACCATGTCAACTTGCTAAAACCATGGAAATAAAGGGAAATTCTTATTACTACAGAGACATTGACCCCGAAGTAAATATCTCAGAGACCCTGTCAATACACCAGACAAGGGAAGTTAAGGAGTTCATTAGATTAAATAAAGAGGTATTCTCCCCAGTCCCAGGACTAGTGTGATTAAACATGACATTTTGACAGAACCAGGAAAAAGGGTCAATCTCAAACCATACAGAATACCCGAGGTTCGCAGAGAAGCTATCAGAGCAGAGGTCAAGAAAATGTTAGATCTTGGAGTCATTGAGGAGTCACAAAGTGACTGGAGCAGTCCAATTGTGCTGGTACCAAAACCTGATAATACAGTACGGTTTTGTAATGATTATCGCAAACTGAATGCTATTTCTAAGTTTGATGCATACCCCATGCCTAGAGTTGATGAGCTAGTGGAACAACTTGGGAGAGCTTGGTACCTCACTACACTAGATTTAACCCCTTAAGGACCAAACTTCTGGAATAAAAGGGAATCATGACATGTTACACACGTCATGTGTCCTTAAGGGGTTACCCAAAGGTTATTGGCAAATACTACTCACAGATCAAGCAAAAGAAAAGACAGCATTTTCTACTCCTGATGGCCTATTTCAGTACAGAGTTTTGCCTTTCGGCTTGCATGTGCCCCTGCCACATTCCAAAGATTGATGGACAGAATACTAAAGCCGCATGTGCGCTAGGCAGCTGCATACTTGGATGATGTTGTGGTACACAGTGAGGATTGTGAATCTCACCTTCCAAAAGTACAAGCTGTCCTTAACTCAATACAAAATGCTGGCCTAACCGCTAACCCCAGTAAGTGTACGATTGGCCTAGAGGAAGCAAAATATTTGGGCTATTCTATTGGTAGGGGACTAGTGAAACCCCAAGTTGCTAAAATCGAAGCCATACAAAATTGGCCAAGACCACTGACTAAGAAACAGGTGAGAACATTTCTTGGCCTCTTTGGATATTACAGGAGATTTATATCCAATTTTGCTACAATTGGAAGCCCATTAACTGACCTTTCTAAAGCTAATGCTCCAGTAGTGGTAAAATGGTCCCCAGCGACTGAACAAGCATACAGAAAGCTTAAAGAAGCCATTTGTGCCCAACCAGTGTTGGCAACACCTGATTTTTCTAAATAATTTATTTTACAGACAGATGCATCTGATGTAGGGCTTGGTGCCGTTCTCTCTCAGGAAATTCAGGGCGAGGCACACCCCATATTATATTTAAGCAGGAAGCTTAATCCCCAAGAAAAACTATTCCATTGTTGAGAAGGAGTGTCTGGCTATAAAGTGGGCAGTAGACACACAAATACTATCTCTTGGGACGAAAATTCAGACTAGTGACAGACCATGCACCCCTTACTTGGATGAGCCAAAACAGGGAGAAAAATAGTAGAGTAACCCGCTGGTTCCTTAGCTTGCAACCCTATAATTTCTCCATAGAGCATAGGGCTGGGTGTAGACAAGGAAATGCGGATCTTTCACGGATGCACTCGCTAATGTCCATGGTCGCTCGACCCAATAGGTCTGAGCTGGGGAGGAGGATGTGTGACCAAAAGCAAGGAATTGTGCTGGAGGGAATCTATATATCTCCCCAGATTTTGCAAGGTTCCTACTTTGTGTAATTAGCCCCAGGGAAATGTGTTATATTAAAATGAATATTGCACTTTAAATATGTATATATTTGGGCCCTGGGGTGGAGCACTTTGAGAGTAGGGTGGGCCAGTGCTCCACTCCACATTTTGGTAGTTGCTTGGGACCTACGGGTTCCAGAGTTTCAATCCTAATTTACCTCACCTGAAAAGGATTGTTAATTACAGGCGCTATTAAGTACTCCCCTGCCAAAGGAGGAGAGAGATTGTGGTTGATTTCTGTGAGTGGAAACAGAGAGCAGAAAACCCCTGAAACAGTAAGGTTGTTTTTTTTTTGGGAAATGGACAAGCCATCCAACCCAGTTAGCTAATTATTTTGTTTAGTTAGTGCTCAGAAGAGCATGGATTTTGTTACAACCTTTTATACCTTACTGTGCATTTATTTTGGAACCACAATAAAAAGAGCAAGTCCTTTTACCTCATCCAGCGTGTGAAGTGTCTCTAAAGCCTGAAAAGACTGTGTGTAACACCCCAATCCCAGGACAAGGTACCAAGGGAAAGGAGTACTTTTGTCACAATATATGTGTGTGTATATATATATATATATATATATATATATATATATATATACACACACACACACACACACACACACACACACACACACACACACACACATTAATTTTGTATTATATATCTATGATTACTCATTTAAAGGGTATACCAATGGTATTAATCATGAGAAATTAATTCTACTATTTCTTATCTAAATGTAAAATATTTTTCAAACCAGCCATATACTGAATTTAATTCTAGGCAATGACTTTAAAGTAACACCATCTGTGGTGATAATGATGGGCCACCTGACACAGGCAACATAGGAACAGCAATGGAGGTAAGATATGTGCCAGAGAATGTGTGATAGAGTGCTTCAGTCAGTATGTGTAAGTCAGTCTGTATGGGTCAGTGTGCATCCATCTGTATGGATTAGTGTGTGTCTGTATGGATTAGTGTGTGTCTGCAAATGTGGTTATAACAAACAATGGCCTGGGTCACTGTGTGTCTGTATGGGTCAGTGGGTGTCTGTATGGGTCAGGGTGTGTCTGTATGCGTCATTGTGGGCCTGCATGGGTCAGTGTGTGTCTGTATGGGTCAGTGGGTGTCTGTATGGGTCAGGGTGTGTCTGTATGGGTCAGGGTGTGTCTGTATGGGTCAGGGTGTGTCTGTATGCGTCATTGTGGGCCTGCATGGGTCAGTGTGTGTCTGTATGGGTCAGTGTATGTGTTTGCATGGATCACTGAGTGGGTCAGTGTTATTGTCTGCATTGTTCATTGTGTGTGTCTGCATGGGTCAGTTTTGTCTATATGTGTGTCTCTGCATGGATCAGTGTGTGTGTATATGGGTTAGTGCGTGTGCATTAGTTTGCATGGATCAGTGTGTGTTTATACTGGAGTCAGCATGTGTGTTAGTCTGCATGAGTGGGGGCGGCAAAATATTTTTTGCCTAGGGCGGCGAAAATGCTTGCACTGTCCCTGTATTAAGGTCATAAAAGTACCTTGCATACAAAGGCAATATTCAAAAGATGTCCTTGTGGCACAGACATTTGAAAAGATCATCACCTCACAGCTTCTGTATAATCCTTTTCATAACTCTGAAAAACAAATAGATGTTACTCTTATTGCATTCTCAGAAATGGGTCCCCAATGGAGAATTCCTTTTTTTCTGTTTTCTTATTTTTTTTTTTCTAAATCTCTTTCTTTCCTTTCCACATATGGGATGCCATTTTGTAAGTAAATATAAGTAACCAAATAAATGACATTGCTGTTTTGACAATCCAAAAAAATAACCGACTAAAGTAATTGCCATTCTTCAGTTATAATAATAAACTATATAAATAAATAATATATACTATAAATAAAATACACCAACTACTTAAAAACTTCTGTTGCCCTGAATATAATGCATAAAAATTTTAGATGAGACTTGTATGCTCATCTATCTTTAAAAAAAAAAATCATAATAAAAATTTAATAGTATAAAAACAAAAAAAATACAGATATTAAACAACGTGAAATAAAATGTAAAATTGTATTTTTTTTTAAATTAAATGGCAATACATGTATGAAAGTAAAAAAATAGCTAATTAAAAAACACAGTTATCACAACATTTTACAGTAGATAGATAGGCTTAGCATCTACTTTGCAGCTCTTAGCATGTAATTGGTTGTTACCAGCCACATCCTTTCTAAACACCATTGCTTTCATCACCTCTGTTACACCGTTACCTTGTAGTATTTAATCAAGAAAATCCATTGAATCTGAATATTTTGCTCATTGAAGTGGTCTGGGTGCAGTATCCCTTTTGCACTAAGTGCTGCAATGTTACACATTTACAATTCACCTTAATAATTTAGGAGGTTTAGAAAAATACCCCTCTCTGTCTCATTAGAGATTTCTTTCCCTGAAGCTCAAGGAAGCAAGGTGAATAGTCAGTGTAGGACCACCTTAGAGGTTTGCCTTGACGTGGCAGGGCCTAAAGCCAGCCCTGCTCCCCCCCCCGTCATCCATGTATGATGTAATGTTTATGTTGACTGTGTATGTGATAGTAGGTGTGATGAAGGTGTGTGATATGTATGCTATGTGTTGGCTGTGTGTGATATTTGTAATGGGTGTATTAACAGTGTGTGATATGCGTGTATTGGTTGTATGTGACACACACACACAGAGTCAGACGGCCATACACACAGGAATACATGCACACACACACACACACGCAGGCAGTCACACACAGGCAAGCACACAGACACACACACACACAGGCAGTCATATACACAGGCAGACAGTCATACACACAGACACACACACACAGGCAGTCATACACGCACACACACAGAGACATTCAGGCAGTCATGCACGCACACAGAGAGTCAGGCAGACAGTCACACACACAGGCAGACAGAGACAGTCAGGTAGTCATACACGCACACAGAGACAGTCAGGCAGACAGTCACACTCACACTGACAATCACAGTTACCCGAGGAGTTTATTGTGGAGACAGTGCAGCTCCTGGAGACTGGTGGGGAAGCAGGGACTCCTTCCTGCTTCTCCTGCAGCAGTTATCTGGCGTTTTAGCTCGGCCCCCGCTGTACGGTAAGCTCCGCCTCACCGCAATTCATTTTTTTTATTCCGGCCGGCCACGTGTGAGCTGTGTCGGCCGCAGGGCGCCCCCTGCTCCATGGCGCCCTGTGCGGCCGCACAGCTCGCACACCCCTAAGGCCGGCCCTGGCAGGTAAGCTTGCATCTAATGGCCTTTGGAGTCACCAAATAACCTGCATTTATTTAAATATTTTCCTTTGGTTTTTACTGTATGTATGAGGCTGATGTATACTATAGTTGTTGCTGCTACCCAAGAGTATTGGGAGTTTGAGCGCAGGACTTATTTTTGTGTATTTATAAAACTATTTTTGACCCTAAAAATTAAGTTAATAGCTTGGCATGGTATAGCAACACTTTGGAACCCCCCCCAAAAAAAATGTGTGCCGTAGAGTAGCGCAGCGCAAACCTTTCAATGAGCAGAGTGTAATGTTCTCTTTTGCTGGCAAATTCTTTTTATATCTGGTTTAATTGTTGACAATTGTATTTGCATGTCTGCAGTTGCGTCAAGTCAATTTTGATACTTTGTTTTTGTTGCAGAATAAAGCGAGAATTCACATAAGTATGTGCTGGCGAATGGCAACAGAACTTTGATTTTATTAAAGGACACGGAGGCTCTTATTAGGCTTATCTCTTTCTTTTATTCCTCAGCAGCAAAGAAAGCTAAGGTGTTTATTTGTAGAAAAAAACATGCATAAATACCCTCACAGGGTTAACCTTACATGCATTGCTTAATTTGATTCTGTGATTTCTGTTGATTCGGTATTGTTGCTGCAGTATTACTCCTGACTACTGTGTTTCCCTCCCACCCCCTCCTGTGGGTTCACTCAGTGGGGGAGCCCCTCCCACGCTTCCCCGCCGGTTCCCCGACCCCCAGGGCGGGTATACCGGCTGTTCACCTCCCTATCGGGTAGTTTATTACCCGTCCTCCCACCCGCGGCACTCGGGCGCTGGGCGCAGGGAAACCCCTGGGAACGGTTCAAACTGTTCCCTGACGGGGTTTTTTCCTCGGCGCCAGTGCCCGCGAGTGAGTGCCGCGCGCGCATGCGCATTTCCAGCCACGACCCGCGGCGGCCATCTTAAAGGGGCGGCAGACATAAATTTTGCCGCTGTTTTTTCCCCCTCAGCTCGCTCAGCCCAGCAAGAGGGGGCGAGCTGATTGGTTTGGAGGTCTGCCTGTCAGCTTACCAGTGCTCCCAGAGGGCATTCCTGAGGGAACACTCGGTAAGCTAGCAGTGCAGCCTTTTTTTGTCCTGTCTTTGCCTTGTCTGACTGTCTACCCTGCCCTGCAGTGTGTAATTAACAGCCAAAGTTTTTACTGCCAGACTGTGTGAGTCCCATTATCCTGCCACTAAGTATCTAACTATG